CTCGCCACGTCGTGCGTGGGCCATCGGCCTGCCTGCCGCTAGGCCGGCCAGTCATTGCCGCGCTACTAGGCCTCAGCTTGCGCCATGCGCTTGCCCCGCCCCGTCTGGGCCACGCAGCGTCGCTTGGGCCGTGCTCGCCCGTTTGGGCCGGTCTCGTGCTCGCCTGGCTGGGCCGCTGACTGCCGCGCCTGGGCCGTGCATGCCGCGCCCCGCCTGGGCTGCTCTGACAGCTGGGTCGATTTGATGACTGTTGTCCCTTTAGTTTGTACAGCGGTTGCTAATTTAGTTTCGGGAGAAAACTTGTAAAATCAATATAAAATTGTGTAGTTGACCAAAAATTATGAAACCAATTTTGTTAGTCTTCTAAAATCATGATCTACTTGTTAGTATATTTTGTTCACGTAGTTTGATAGTATTCTTAGAAGCTATATAATTAATTTAAGGTATTTAATATTGTAAAGATATAAATTTGTAGGAATTGTTATGATAAATTAATGATAGTGTTGGATCTGAAATTATTACAGTAGGCTCCTAGCAATATTAGGTATTCACTGTAATTGTTGTGGCACCAGAATAATTAGTTCGTTAGATAGATAATGATGCCTATTTCGAATAATGATTAAATCGACAGAATTGAATAAAGAAACACTTTGGAATTTTATAACCAAAACAATTGTTGGAAAATAACGCCTTATTCGAAAACATGGATACGTAGACTAGCGTTAGAGCTATCTCGTTAGCTTGTGAGACATAATCGGATTTCTAAGCATTTCGGCTGTCGTCGATTATTTACATCTATGCATTTGCATCAATGCATATCATATAGGTACGATGATGGATCAACGGATCAATTGAAGGATGATTGGGAATTCGAAGATGGTGTAATTGTATTCTCTCCAGGAGATGATGCAATAGGATTTCTATTCAGTTGATGGTGGATAATCTAAAGATACATATACTAACTTTTTAATATATATTTTACCTAGGCAAGCCCCGGTGTATAACCCCTACTTTTCTGCAGTTTAAATTATATTTATGCATTAAATTTAAGGAGTTGAATGAAACTCACTTGCATATATATCTTTATCCTAGGAGTCTTACTAGTATTACATGATCGTGTAGAATGCTATGCTATAGGACTCCGGTAGAAGTCGAGTGATTGTCTATCACTCGCGAGAGATAGGAAATATATTACTGTATTATTATCTCTTGGAAAAATATAAATGGTGGAAAGGAAAAATGGTGACCGAGTACGGATATGGTTTTGATATTGGTGGGTGTAAAAGGTTGTGTCGCCGCGGACGCGGGACATAGCTTGGTTACACTGCTTTTCCTGTCTGTGTCGGTTAAGGACTGGCCATTGCATAAGACGCTAGGCAAGTCACAGATTTATTATCCTGAGCACATACTTGTGTATGGGCGCTTGAAAGACTTGTTGCTCTCTTATCGTGGATCCGGCTCTTTTCGGACCGACTGTCAGGGTGGTTTTTGGGTTATGAGGTCCTTGCACCGCACTGAGTCCGGGACTCAGTGGCGGAGGCTTGGAGTCCTAGTTTGGACGGGACCTGGACATCCAGGACAGGAGGGTGATGGGTTAGTCCTGCTTGGGCATGTGTTTTCGGGGTATCCAGCTGGGGACATTGGTTCGCGAATCGCCGCCGAGTCGGTACGACTTGTCTTAACTCTAGCATCGTAGTAAGAACTGAAAGAGGAAAGATGGAATAGAAAAAAAATCTGATTGCTTACCACCTGCTTGAAAGTAGTACATGTGCTTACATAGAATGGTTAGTTAATGAACCAATGTGGCTATTAATAAAAATCGAATATAAGGACGCACGCTTAGTAATGCTTCCTGCAAATACAATAAACCCACAAGCCAGATAGCCTTGCATATCCTTGGAGTCTTTTCTTTTCTCCTGTCGGGTAAGTCTTGCTTAGTATAATTGAGTACTCAGCGTTTTATTCCCCCTGTTGCAGGTGATAGGTGGAGGCTTGAACTGACCTTTGTGTGTGGATTCCTCCTGGTGGGCTCAGAGAGGATTTTCTTTACGCTACGATCGTAGTTTTTATTTATAAATCTCACTAAATGTTTTTACAAATGAAAGTTTTATAATCTGTTGTCCTAGTTCACATATCAATGCTTTATCATGTCATGTTTAGATAATTATTTCCGTTGTAATTCTGATAACATGTTTATATTCCGCTGTTAACTTAAACTACTCATAACTCTGATAATATAATTACACTCCGTTGTTATACAATAAATATTATACTCTAATGTTGTATTAAAAGTGATGTAAGAAATGGTTAAGAATGTTGTAAGCTTTATTCTCTCATTTGTGATCTTGATGTAAAAATGTGGATTTTTGGGTTCTCCCCTGGGGTGTGCCCGACGGAACCGAGTAATTTGGTGTTCTCCATTAGGTGCTTAGTGTCTAATAGAAGACAAGCACTCCGAGAAGGCATTAGATTAGGCGGTTCTACCACAATTCTAGACCACCATTAGTTGTAGAACATGAACGCTAGACAAACTTCTTAATAGAAATAAATTGGTAGCTCTTATTTATAATAAATGTAATATTCTAAGGTCACCATTAGGCTAGAGAAAATGTGAACATGATTTGAGAAGGTCACCGTCGTACCACTTTTACCCCTACACCCAGTGGACTACACACGACATACAACAAACCTATAAACCTACAACTGTGTCGCTGACTAAAATCTTCCTCCGCCCATTCCTCGCCCTCGGACACTTCCCCTGCCTTGGCCCCGGCGTCGAAAATCTCTTCTACCACCACCTGCTTTATCTGGCCCTCTGAAGGCGAACATGCTCATCCATAATGTTCAGCGTCTGAACTCCCCACCCCACCACTGAAAACATCTGCCCCACCATAAAAAACATTATATTGACACTGAATTCAACATTCTTATATTGGTATTGTAAAAAAATCTAGAAAGTTATGCATCACCACAACAGAGAATCAGACTAACATGCATATCTAGGTGTTCCTGCAGTTGCCTTGCCAACTCCTCATCTCGGAACCAAGTGGCTTTCCTCTTCTCCCATTCATCAAGGGTACCTGAGCATCTTCTTCCTTAACTTTGCCCTTAACAAATTATAACGAGTAAATTGATATGAAAGGTAAGGTTTTGGAGGGTCACCTATATATATTGAGCAATTTGCTTTGATTTACCTTGCTTTCAATAGTGTTTTTGTTCACAGTATTCAAATCCTCATTCATTTGTTTGCTGTCAGAGTTAACTGGCACATGGTCATGAGCAACTGCCAACTTCCTAGCTTTATGAAAGGAAGATAGATCCAATCCACCCCACTAAATTCACCAGAGAAAAAGGGATTAATTTCACTGTATTTGAAGCCTATATAAGTTTCGCTATTTCAAAAGAGAACAGAAAAGCATGGTTCGCTATTTCAGTACAGGACAGAAAAGCATGGAAGATCATTGCATTACTCTGATGTGCGGGACGCTTCCGTCTTGTGGCCGCACGCCGTAGTGGACACACCCACTTGCCGGGAGGGACAGGATCCGGCTGCAAGAGAGGCAGAATGAGTTCCCAAGCAGGCAACTTTCGATGCAGGCGACGAGCACGACGTACGGCATGGCTCGGATCTTGCGACGCAGACTTTAAGGGCATTTCATTGAAGGGCTTACCTGCACGGAAATAGTGACTGTGAGTTGAGCACATTGGCGCATGAGGAACGGGGAGGGACGGCTTGGCGGTGTGCGCTCGCCATGGTTGCAGCCGCAAACCGAAGCCCTATAGATCAGCCATGGCCGTCACCGCCATTCATGGACTCGTGGCCCTGGTCTCCGAAATGCATAAGAGGAAGAGGGAGCCAGAAGATGATCACGTACGCGAATGTGGTGACGCGTCGAGAGGGCGGCCACGGCATCGATCCGGCTGATGACGGGTCGATCCGACCACCTCAACACTAATCTAGTTGGGGGAGATGAAGGGGCGGCACGTCCACGGGAGGGCAGCCACGGCGTTGATCTAGAAGACGGCGTCGATCTAGCCGCCCCATGCAGATCCAAGCCGACGGAGGCGACCACGACGCCGATCCAGGAGGCGACGTTGATTTAACCGAGGGAGACGGAGCGTGCGGCGGCGGCGCGGTGGATGCGTAGGCGTGTAGATGAATGACGGGAGCGATCATTCCTTTTTAAATCACGGGAGCGAGGTTTGAGGCAGCGGTTTCGTTTTAGCTCTTTCCTTTTAAATATCGCAAGGGACGGCCACGTCGGACCGAGGATGTGGGAACGCAGCAGGCAGGACGATGGACCCACGTTGGAATGTCGCACAAAAAATGTTCACGCTTTGTTCTTTTTAGTTGTAGGAGATGAATGAATTTAGCGTTGTTACTTGTAGTTGTAGCACAATTATGGTTGTCTAAACTAGTCCTGTATCATGTCTCATGGGGAATTATCGTTTTTGTGTATGTTTGGGATCGAAGGACTAACAATTGTGACAATAAAATGCATAAAATTCACACATTATAAAAGTGGAGCGGATTTGGTTAATTTTATAGGAACCACATTTGCATGGAATATAAATTTTTTGGACACCCGGTTTTTCCTAAGAATATTCGACGTGAGCCTGAAATGGCACGGCAAAAAGTGACTATAAAGATTATAAATTCCGTGAGGCACACCCCTATATAGAATCAGAAAAGGAAAATTCTCTTTCCCAGAATGGCAGGATTACAGGATCCCACCGTCTTCTCAAAATGCCAAAGAAATCCTTAAATAAAACCATTATTACAAAAACAAAAACATTATTACAAAAAAAAAAAACGATTTAGAAGCACATAATAAACGCGACCGGGAAAAGGGTAGTATTCTTCTCTGCGCCCGTTACTCCTCCCCCGCCTCCACCCATCGCCGCCGCGCGGCGCGGCGACGCCCAAGCCTAGGGTTCGCGAGGGGGCTCCCACCGCCTCCTCGCCGTGCGCCGCCCCGCCACCGACGCCTCCACTTCCCATGTCGCTCCGATCCGGCGGCCGCCAGCTATCCTTCGAGCTCCTCGCGGGCGACCTCACCGCCGACGACCCGGACGACATCTCCCCGCGCTCTCTGCCCGACACCACATCAGATGGCCAGCGCCGGCGCAGGAGGCGGTCCAAGCGCAAGCGTGGGTTCCGGAGCCCCCCGATCGACGAGGCGGCCTCGGAGGGGGAGCAGCAGCCGCGCGTGGAGGGCGGCGGCGACTCGGCCGCGGCGTTCAGGGTCCCAGGATCTGAGGTCGACTGCGGAGACGGTATGCGAGGGCTCGGACGCCGAAAGGTCTGCGGCGAGCTGCGTGACCTATGTTGGCGTGGAGCTGAGGCAGAGGAGCGTCTCCGGGGCCGGGAGGGTGTTGGCGGCGTCCGCGGATGATGGGACCAGCAGCTGCGGCAGCAGCACGCGGGAGAGTGCAGCAGCTGCTGCGGCGGCGGTGGCGGATGTGGCGGCCATGGCGTGGCAGCCTGAGGCGAATGGGGGCATGAAGAAGAAGCTGGAGAAGGAGTCGTCGCTGGATTGGGAGAAGTACATGAAGGATAATAGCAACATTCTCGGAGGTTCAGATCTTACTGTTCACTGTATGCTTTTTATTATGATAATTTGATGGTCCTTTCACCACTCCTCATTCTAGACAACACATTGTAAGGAGTTTCTTAGACGATTTCGCTTCATTTCTGTGATATGAACAAAGTAGAACATGATGCTGCCTGTGAAGTTTGTTGCATCCTAGCATTAGAGCATTAGGCTGGAAAGAAGGTCACAGTCTGAAATACTAATTGCTGGTCCATTCTTGGTGGATTTTCATATCTGACTAAATCTGGGAGATCTGATCCAAAACAGAATAATTATTTTAGTGGACCAATTTTCATTGCACTGGTAGATTCAAATTCAATTCTAATTTAGTAGCGTGCTATTGTATATTGAGTCAACAAGCCCTATATATGCATATTCACACCTCTATAAACCATTTGCTGTTGCAGAAGTTGAGCGCCTTGATAACTCACCATTCAGATATTTCCTTGGGGAACTATATGGTGGTAATTCACTAAGAAGCACAATTGCAGTGGGCAATGAGAAGAAGCGACAGCGGGTGTACAACACTATGTTTCATGTCCCATGGAGATGTGAGCGGGTATGCATCTGCACTTCTAATGGCAATACTTGTGGTACACCTCATGCATGTGATTTGAACTTTCGAGTATTGATGCTGTTCTAGCTTATTATCTTGCTTGATGTCAGGCATTGCTGGAAAATGGATCCAATATGCAAGAGTTATTCACAATTTGACATTTTTTAAATAATTAATTTTGCATGTTGATGAAACCAATAACTCACCATGTACTTTTGACTGAACAATCATGAATGAATTCTTGTCCTGGTTTGGGTATTGATAGGCAAAAATGTATATTGACTTAAAAAAAGGGTAGAATGTGCTGTGATGAACTTCATACTTGGTTATGTGTGTACTTAACATGTTTCAGGAGTTATTATGCACTTGTTTGTGTGATGAGAGAGATGTTTGATAATGGTAAAATGCTGCAGCTAATTGTCGCAGGATTCTTCGTCTGCTTGGATTCCTTTCTGTCGTTGCTTACAATTATGCCTGCACGAATTGTTATTACCATCTGGCGGGTGCTGAAGACCAGGTGGGTTTGCAATTTTACTGTGAATTAAATGAAGTATGTTCTAGTATTTTAATTATTTATTGCATGAAACAAATTTAGACTGAACTGTTGTTTAGCAACATATTGGCAGTGCCGAGACATTCTGCGATATATGATTGTAGATTCTGATTAAGCTTGATGTTGTCTTATATGATGTTCATAAAAAGTTAACTCTTAGTGATGTAATTTTTGTTTTAGATAATTGCACCTAAACATTACTTGTTGAGCCAGTCTTAGGGTACCTGTTCTGGTTCTGGTTGGGAAGCTTCTGCTTAAGCTAGTTAACCTTGCTCATAGATCTTATCACATAAACCTAGTACTCTGTTGTGGTGAAAACTTAATGCACTTTGACCATAGCTTTCTGATAAGCTAGTTTCTATTGGATGTATAACCCAACAATGGGAGCTTTAGTACATTTGGGATTTACAAGTATGATTTACTTTTTAGTATATTAACTTTTTTTTAGAGAACTTGCATATGGGAACTTACTTTCTAGTTAAGATAATCTCAGTTTGAAATGCAGCAGTGGCTATCTGAAAGAAATTGAGCTCCTTGTACAGTACATGATTTACTTTGAGAGGAAATATGAACCATGGAATAATTGCATAAATAGAGATAAACTTCTTGGAAGCAATACTTCACAACACAAGGCAAAAGTATTATTTGTTTTGCCTTTTCCAATCAAGTGTCTAGTTTATGCTTGGTATCCTCCATTGTCAATATTAGTTTACTGGGTAGATTGGCTTATATACTGATGTTCTTAGCATTTATTATAGTAAACTTTAGCGGTGCAAGAAACCACCAACATTATTTACTGTTTTACATCATTTCCTGATCTGATGATCTACATGTTTGTAGTTGTGTCTTTTCTACCATTGACTTGTTTTTGCCAGCTTTAGTTTTCACAAAGGCACTCTTTCCCATTCAGTCCCTCTTTAGTGGACATATTAGATCATGTAATCATTTATCCAATGTATTTGTGACAGGAAGTTTCGGCCCCAAATGCTGCTGATTTATCAGATTATGGATGTTTTGTAGTTCTAGCCCTTGGAGTTGCTTCTTTGCAAATGATAGGTTAGCCCCCCCCTTTTTTTTTTTTGCTTGAACAAGCGGACATCCTACGTATTTGATAAGCCACCCACAATTATTCTTTTTTTGTGTGTCAGATATTAGCTTAATTTACCATGTCATTCGTGGTCAGGGCACGATCAAGCTTTATGTCGTATACAACGTACTAGAGGTGAGTATACTATTTATTTAAAGTATACATTTATTATTAATATTTGTGTGCTTGACCTGTGTTTTTGTTTTAGATCTTTGACAAACTCTGTCAATCATTCGGTGAGGATGTGCTGCAAGTTCTGTTCAACTCCGCTGAGGGGTTGTCAGCATGCTCGACAGATAATGTGACATTTGAACTGATGCGGTTCATTTTGGACGAGGCGATAGCCGTTGTTGCATTTGATATCCTTTTCTGCAGTTTGCATCAGTTAATTTCCCTTTAAATGGTAGATGCAATTTGAATTAGAACCAGATAAGATCATGGACACCTGACTGCCTAATGATAAAGGTCACACACAGATCTGGTGGTGAATCTAGTGATTGCAATAGCAAAATTTTCAATTGAATATACAGTGGTATGGGTTTGCTTGACATCCATGTGCTCTAATTACATTGTAGATTTAATTGTGTTATCGCTACTGCTGCTATTTTAATATAAACATCGAATTTTGAATTCCTTAACAAGTTATACTTGTCCATTCATTTGTCTTGTTAGCTCAGGCGATCACCCTGTCAACATGTATTATTGCCCACAACAATGCATTATTGGCTCTACTGGTATCAAACAATTTTGCTGAGATAAAAAGTAATGTATTTAAGCGTGTTAGCAAAGAGAATCTTCATAGTTTGGTATACTATGGTGAGTGTGCTTATGATTTATACGCATATTATTCCAAACAATGTGCTTTTGTATTTATTCTTTGATTCTTTACCTGCTGAGCTACTTGCTGTTTTCATCATCTAAGTCCCTTAACCATGTCAAAAAATACTGAGTTGGACTTCATTAATGTTTATCTACATAGGCTTCTTTGCAAAAACTGAACCATCCACAAACAGCTTTTTGTACATTTTTTTCAATGTAAGGTTCAAAACCATTTATGTTACACAGGATCTAAACACCTAGCTTCAATCAGCAGTTTGATGGCAAAAATCAAAATATGTTCTCTAAATTCAATAATCATGTTCTAAATTTAGCAAACTTCATATTCACCTTTGTTCAGTCTTACATGCTGTTATTCTTGATAATTAATTCATATGAAGATGCAGCTTATTTGCTTATAACATTATAACTTGCAGACATCATTGAGCGATTTCACATCACGGCCTTTCTGCTATTTGTTCTTGCTCAAAATATCTTGGAAGCAGAGGGTCCATGGTTTGACAGCTTTCTTACTGTAAGTTTAATATTCTTCCATTTTCAGTACCTCTAATGCAAATATTTTCTTTTATCAAATCGAAAACTCGTTCAAACATTTTGTTTGTTATCACTGCAGAATGCATCATTGGTGTTTTTGTGTGAAGTACTTATCGATGCTATCAAACATTCATTCCTTGCAAAATTTAATGAGATAAAGCCAGTTGCTTATTCAGAGTTTTTGGAAGATCTTTGCAACCAGGTGAGGCGCTGATGCTTATCTCAATTCTATCCGTATTTCAGGCTTAATGATGTGTGCCATTTGATACAATCATACAAAAATGGATAACTAAGCAACAATTAGGTAGTTGAACATCTTCATCAAAAGTAAGAGGTACTTGATTATTATTATGAAGCTAAACTGTTAAAGAAAATAAAACATACACGCACAAAAGCACAAAACAGTTTAATTTTGTTAAGTGACATGTACTTTGTGACGGCTGTACTATTGCTGCATTGCTTACTTTTTTTCTGTAATTCTGTCAGTGAATTCTCTGATGGTACTGTGTTACTGTATTCTATTAGGTATATTTCTCCTAATGCCAGTGTTTGCAAATTTGTTTTATATGTTAGGATGCATTTACTGAAAAGGTCAACTTGCCATTTGAACTGATGATTGACATGCGTTGAGCATTAGTTTTCAATATATTCCAGGTCCTCCTTGGGGCACAGTTTCCCTGCTTTGATTGGTTGATCATACCAAAAGTTTGTGGCATTGAAGTTCGATTGCCCAGAATTTGAATATTATCCATTAAACCACCATTAATGACCATATTCTCTACAGATTTTGAATGACAAATCTGATGACCATAAGAAGGACCTAACATTCATCCCCCTTGCCCCAGCTTGTGTTGTAAGTACACGCCCAACTATCCATGCTCTATAGTGCCATGCTACATTGTACAGACTACTTACATGGAAAAAATGCCTTGTTTCTTTAGGTAATTCGTGTATTGACCCCGGTATATGCTACCCTCCTTCCTGCTGGCCCATTTATCTGGAGAATATTCTGGATTTTACTTTGGTCAGTTCTGACCTATTTTATGCTCGCCATATTCAAGACAATCGTGGGATTGATACTGCGCTGCCTTGCAAATTGGTATGTAAATCTACGGCTCACAAGAAAACAACATGTGGATTGAGTACATGGCACCACAATTCTGGTGCTACGGTTACAACATCTCTGAGAAGACATTTTGCTGTGGTGCATAAAGTACAGCAAGCACTGCAGCTGCTGAGAGTTATATGACAGAAGTATTGCTAGTATAGTACAGCACAGATGAATATTATAGTATCTTCTTCTAAGGGTTTTGTCGATTCGAGGAACAAATTAGTCCAATTTTGTGGTGTTTACGGTTTATTTCTGACCTCCGTTTGTGCATAGCTCAGCTTCATCGTAAATTATCTGCTGTCACCTAACCAAGATGTTCTGATCTGTCATGTAAGGCATGCTTATACATTTCCTTCAGAAAAAAAAATACTCTCATATTTCGTGTTCCACATCAACTCGACAAGATTTGTTCGCATTGCGTCTGTTTTTGTGTGCTATTGTCTGGTGCATGTCTTCGCGATAAGATTTGTTCATTATCATTTTCCCAATGCACTAGCTTTGTTTTTTGCAGTGTGGCACGTCCGGGTTTCATTGCCACAAAGCCACAACTACAGGGTTTAATCGCACAACAACGTTAACAAGCTTACAGAATCACCAAACGCTAAGCTCTCGAGACAAATTACAGAATAGCTTTTCTTTTTCTTTTCTTTTCTTTTTTTTTTTTTTTTTGTTTTGGGTACTTCAGGTCGGTTCGAACCATGGATCAAAAATCATGATCCAAATCTACCTTTGACCACTGACGAGTTGGGTTAGACTTTTTTTCAGATTGGGTAGATCTGGTAATCAGGTTGGATGGGCCACGAACAGGTCTCTGAGCCATTTCCCGACGTGAAGAAATTACCGTGTGTGTAGCTGTAGCGCCTGCAAACCGGGGCCACTACAAAGTGCGAAGTGGCCGACGAGGCGACGACCCGCCCCTCCGGCCTCCGGCCTCCGGGCCTCCGCCTGTTGCTTCCTTATCCAGCAAGCCGGGCTCCAACTCCGAGCAAAACAGGGGAGGATCAGAGACATCGCGTCGAAAACACACCACTCGGTAGTCGTTACTCGCCCGCTTCTCCCACCGGTTCGGGACTTCGGGTCTCGGCTCTCGCGGATGCGGACATGTGCGCGCTTCCCCTACTTGGTTACTCTACTCGTAGTCGTGTCGTAGGCGCTCTATCTTCGCGCGGCCACCTGGGCCTTTGTTCCTCCCGCTCCGACCAAGCGCTCGCAAGCTCGGGCTCCATGTCCATCACAAGGTTGGCCGCGTCGTACGTGGACCCCGGCACCGGAGTCCCCCTCCGCCGCGCGATCCTTTACGTCGTCCTGCTCCTCGGCTCCAACCTCGCCACGTTCCTCCTCTCCTCCCACTATTCTTCCTGCGCGACGCCTCCGGCCGCCGCGGCGGCGCCGCCGAAAATGGCTACTCCAACGACCACCACCGTCCCGGAGCAGCCGATGGACCTCCCGCTGGAGTTCCACGCGTTCGCGGGGCCGCACGCGCTACCGTACGGGCGCAACGCCAACTGGGGCACCGCCGAGCTGCGGCCGCCCGTGGGCCACCCGTGCCTGGCCTTCCCGGACCTGCTCGCCGCCTTCATGTCGTACCCCGTCAACGGCTCCTGCCCCGACGACGAGCTCCCCGCTCAGCGGCTCCTCCTCCGCGGCTGCGAGCCCCCGCCGCGCCGCTGGACCCGGCGCCGCCCGACCGCTCCGTCCACTGGTCCGCCTACACGTGCAAGTCCTTCCGCTGCCTCGTCGACCGCGCGCGCTCCCCACGCTTCGACGACTGCAAGGATTGCTTCGACCTCGCCGGTGGCCCGGAGCGGTACCGCTGGCTCAACGCCACCGGCAAGAAGAGGAACCCGCTCAACTTCTCCATCGACGAGGTGCTCGCGTCGGCGTCCCCGCCGGGCTCCGTCCGCATCGGGCTCGACATCGGCGGCGGCTCCGGCACCTTCGCCGTGCGCATGCGCGAGCACGGCGTCACCGTGGTGGCCACCATCGTGAACCTCAACGGCCCCTTCAGCTCCTTCGTGGCCGCACGCGGGATCGTGCCGCTCTACGTCAGCGTCGCCGCGCGGCTGCCCTTCTTCGACAACACGCTGGACATCGTGCACTCCATGCATGTGCTCAGCGGCTGGATCCCGCCCGCCGCGCTGCAGTTGGCGCTGTTCGACGTGTACCGGGTGCTCCGGCCCGGCGGGCTGTTCTGGCTGGACCACTTCTTCTGCGGGGAGGCGGAGATGGCGGCGTACGTGGATGTAATAGAGAGCGTCGGGTTCGGCAAGCTGAGGTGGGTGACGGGTAGGAAGCTCGACAAGGGACCGGAGAGGAAGGAGATGTACCTCTCGGCATTGCTAGAGAAGCCGCTCAAGAACTCGTGGCGCCATTAATTCCGGTAACTCTTGATCAAAGGAGGGAGGTTGGATAACGCCACTGTGATTGATGCGATCCTCGCTGAGGCAAGGAATGCACTGTTTGCTGACTAGATGGCTTGCTTTATTTTGTATGTATGCTTTTTAAGGCGGTTTGCGTGTGTTTGTCGTGCATGCGTCGTCGAAATTTTACGATCTTTCTGTAAGTGCGCATTTGTGTACTAGAAATAAATGGTTAAATTGATCATGTCAATGTCCAAAACAATGTCATTTTTCCCCATCGGCCTGGGCAATTATGCACTTTTTCATGTTATATCCTGCCACGGTGGAGATCAGGTCAGAGCAGCCTGCCATAGGCGCTTACAGACAGAAGCGGCGCTCAACCGAGCAGCAGACGCTTTGGATGCGGAGTGACCGAGTGAGGCGCTTGGACGCTCTGACAATAAAAACTAGTCGAAATACGTTCGTCGCGCGTTGTATGCTTCATGCTTGTATAGCTCAAAGGCTATTAAAGCAGACTCTTGTGTTTTTTAAACTACCTAAGCAGCTGTGAGGACGTGGAATGGATGGGGATTAATTATTCGGGATGAACACGGTGGAGCGGTGGGCTCAGGTGCTGGTAAGATTGACCACTGCCATGACGCTCTCCAAGCTGAAACTACTGCAGCCTAGCTTGCAGGGCGTTTTATTTGCCATGGATGCTGGGATTCAAGGGTGGAAACTGAGACTGATGCTTCTAACTTGAACTCGGCGCTTACTTCCTCATCATTTGATATGGCGGTGAATGCAATCATCTTTCGCGACATCAAGTGCTTATTGTATTCTGAATTTGTGTCTGCGAAGGTGCTATATATCCCCATGTCTTGTAATATAATAGCTGATGCATTAGCTAAATTGGGTGCATATTTAGGGTTAGGGTCAGGTGCTGTTGAGCTCTGGTCAGATTGTAATCCTGCTGCTGTAAACGATTTGGTGGACACCGATCAGGTGTTGGCCTCTATTTAATGGAAGTTTATTCCTTGCTAAAAAAAAGTTCACTCTTATGCAGGCGCTACATGATATGTCATCATTCTCTCTTTAAGAGAGTACCCTGATTTGTTTTGATGGGATTGTTTTAGGCGTTTTGACGGAACAGTTTAGGCCTCCTTTGAAAGGTAGGACTGTGAAAATGAATTGGTTTTTATAAAATTTTCTATATAATTTGTAGAAACCCTTTAGGTTAATATATCGTTGCCTAAATATTCACATTGTGACGGTCTTGCTGATGTTATTGCAAAAAAAGGAAAAAGAACTTTTGCTGATACAAAACATGATTAATATGATGCCGAAATTTTATATTATTTTTAGTATCTTAACAATCTTAAATGAAAAAAAAACAAAACTAGAAAGTTGTAATCTCATCGAGAGCTACTAATTTCATATAAAAATCAACTTCATCTAGAGTCGTATGAAAAAAAAATACGATTTTTCTAAGGTAGAATCTTACCGCCGACATGCGGGTCTCGTTTGTCAAATCCATGCCACATAGGATAACGGTATAGTAAACACATGTTTGGACCTAGATGAGATCTGTTACAATGACGGCCATGTTCGCTTGAACTTATTAGCTATAGTACAGTGTTTTTCTCTCACAACAAATCAATCAATAGTACTTTTTAGCCTGGCTTTTCAGCGAAGCGAACGTGGCCATCACCTCCAGACAACTTTAAGACCGCTAGTAAATTTTACTCCAGTGATATTGACGATGTAGGTAGCTGACGTAGAACAAAGAGAAAAAAGAATGATTATTTATATACGCGCGCGCTCTCTCTCTCTCCAGCTTGATTGTTTCATTTGAGGCAACTGGCCATCACTTCTCTCACAACATGCTTTCCTATTTTCGACCTGCATAAAATAGTTTGGTGCCCCTACCAAAGCATGCATTATAGCTATCTTTCACCTCCACGTCTATATCTAATTAGCTCCAAACCACCACCCCGGGTTGAGGATGCCCTAAATGAGCGTTAGATGTTAAAAATTATTAGCCTAATTATTGATCAAAGTTTTTAAAGTTTGAATCTTGATATACGTGTGCGTCAGATAAAATGGACCCGAGGGAGTTCTACCATTGAAAGTTAAGGCTCTTATTCGGACGCTACATGATATGTCATCATTCTCTCTTTAAGAGCCTATCATAGAGCCTTTTCCATTGTTTTAGGCGTTTTGATTGGACTGTTTTACGCCTCCTTTGAAATGTAGAACTTCGAAAATGAACCGTTTCTATAAAATTCCTATACAATTTCTATTTTTTGTGTTCCAAAAAGGCCTTAAGGTTAGGGCTCATTTGGTACAGCTCAGCTTCATTGGTGAAACAGTTTTTTTTTTTCTTCGGTTCCATAAAACAACTTCACCAGTAAAGCTAAAGTTATTTTCAAAAAAGTTTGGTAAAATAGCTTTTAAGGAAGACAACAGAGAAAGCTAGAAAAAGTTAATATTTTCAGCTTCACCTCGGTTCTTGTGCTGTGAGAAGCTAAAAAACAGCTTTTAGGGAGTTGTTTCATCTAGACTTTTCCGTAGAAGCTGAAAAACATCTTTGTAAAGCTAGGACAGAAGCCCTACCAAACATGATCTTAATATATCAGTCTAATTATTCTTATTGTGATGGTCTTGCTGATGTCCATTGCAAAAAGGAAAAAATAACTTTCACAGATAAAAATGATTTATGAGGGTTGTCAGCATGTTTCTCATATGAGCGGCCGGCACCTGAAGCCTACGTGATAATGCAGGAATGATCGGCAACAATATGCAACTATACATACATAATGTATAATACATTGATACTCTTTTGTTTCTTTTCCAATGTGGGACTTTCCACAGCACACATATTGCAGTCGCTATCACTGACAAATAGTAAAACAAAGGGATAGAGACAAAAATATAATGCCCAAACCTATTTGGAGCACACATTGCAGCACTATAATCAAGACAATCAATCTGCTGACTGAAACTTTACAGTATCATTTACATTCTATACATGAAAACCAAAAGGAAGGGGGTTCCCAGTTTTCCAGTACGCTCGCCAGAAAACAAAGAGAGCGAGCACACACGCACGGTTATGAATTCAATCTCTGAAGAGTGAAGAGCACTCCAGTAAAAACTTCTGAAGCAGTCCACTCAAATCCAGTGTGAAGACCAAGAGAAGGAATTCCATAAGCTGGCATCAACCAAACCTGGTTTGACAAAGAAGAGGATATCCGATTCGACCAATACACCATGCTACACTGCACATTCAGCAAAGCATATTGGAACAGGTGGTTAGCAGGCAGCCACATTCATAACAATGTTTTCCAAGATAAAAATTTTTGGGTGCATAGAGCCATAGACAAACCGCATCCTAAGGGCAGAACATGATAAATGGAGATGGATGTAGGTCTAGAACAATGCCCTACTAGTTTAGGAACAGTTATTTAGTCACAGTAGCAATTATAGCAACAATGCAGCGTTACAATTTGAGTTTCATGGAGGTTATATAGGTTAGGGGGTGAGTAGAGCAACAGCATTAGGTTAGGGGGTTATATAGACTTTTTTCCTAAAGCCAGTCTCAGTGCGTGACAGTCTTGGAAACTGAGATGAAAACACCCTCTCTCAACTCACGGTTTCATATGCTAGTCACAGAATTAAATAGTTACATGGTGTTGCGATCAAATATGCCATATGAACAATAAGGCCACTTACAACACTATATAAAGTACAAACTAGCATAAAAAATGTGAACGAAAATAGTTTAATTTACTTCAACATTTGTATGATATAAATAAAAATATATATAACAGGGTCATATGTAAAATAAATTACATATAGCGCATGATAATCATGAAAGGTATGGTGCACACGAAGATGCAAGACACATGAGATGAGGCAAAACACATGGGGATGAAACTATAGACTCTCAATGCAGATTTCAGTAGAGTTTCATTGACTAGGTAACTGTGCCAATTGAGTTTCATGTCTCTCTTAATTTTCACGCCACCTCACCACTTTTCGTGACGTGGCAGTATAATAATTAAGTATGAAACTTCAACTGAGAATCTGAGATTGGCCTAATGTTTTGCATCTACATGGCCGTTATTCTAAGAATTACTGCAGTGACTGATCCCAAGAGGACTGCCTAGCCACATTTATTTTACCCTCCAGGTCAGCACATACAAAAGTTTCAGGTTATTTACGTAGCCATTGCATTACTCTGCTCCTTAAAAGCAGCCGGTGCAAATGACATGGCAAACAAAACCTCTTTTTTTGTGTGCGCTAAATAACCCCATTGTACATGCTCTAACAGCACGGTGGTATGTGAGGAGGTGTGATGATAGACCTTACAACAGTAAGGGAAAACAATTCAAGGGCACAACTATTTCCTTGTGATCTGATGTAGTGTATGGGTGTGGGTGTGAGAGTTTTGCGGTTTGGGTATATTGTATGGGCTCTTTACCCTTTTTCCCTTAATACAGAAAACATATGCACAGTCATCCATCATACTTGTGCACAATTACCTCAATATTGATTTAACAGTGTCCAGTTCAAGGGTGTACCTGGATCATGGCCATATTATCTACGTTTCACAGAGTTTGCTCCTCTGACAGCCTTAATTTGCTGTGATTCTTTAAAGCAGACAAAATGCACCAAAGTCTGTCCATTTGGATATATTGCAAAAGCACTATTTGCAACACGCTTATGGCAAAGAGAACATGTACTATCTCCATCAATCTTGAGAACAGCTTGACACCGCTTATACAGATCCTCCTTGACCTGAAAGATCAGTCAAGGATATAATAAGAATATTGATTGCGCTACAAAACAAATGTAGTAGATAAATGACAACAGTTACCAAATCATTGTTGATAGAAGCCTACTATAAATAAGCATGTAAATATAATACTCTCATATGGCTGATATGATAAGAGAGATGGTGTGTTTGACGAGAGAGATTGAGAACATGACAAGATACAGCCATTAATCTTGCACATCTAACTTAATTGGCATTG